TAAATGTTTTCGGCGGGCCGCATGTGGCCCCCGGGCCGTAGTTTGAGGACCCCTGCTTTAGAGTACCAATTACTCAGTGAAGGAACCCCATCCTGGTTCCATTTTTGTGCCAGTAGTGACTTTGCAGCTGAAAGCAATAACGCTACCAGTTCAACAGTTTGTCTTGTTAATAATAAAGTTGGCCAGAAATTAACAAGGATTGATTCCAGAGTATTTGGGATCACAATACCAGTAATTTAAAAAAAATTATCCGAGAATATTTTCCCCAAAACTAAAAAATTTTGGGCAGGCCCACCAACAATGTGTGAAATCACCTTTGTGTCCACAGCCCTTCCAACACATCGGGTTGGTTTTAAATTCACATAAATACAAATGATTAGGAGTTAAGTACCGTCTGGAATAAATTTTAAACGATTGCAGTCTGATTGCCAGGTTATTAGTGGTAAAAGAAAAGGAATTCCAAATGTCATTCCAGTGTGTACCCTCTATAGTATTTGTACATTAACATAAGAACATAAGAACATAAGAAATGTCAATGTTGGATCAGGCCAAAGGCCCATCCAGTCCAACACTCTGTATCACACAGTGGCCAGAAATACCAGGTGCCATCAGGAGGTCCACCAGTGGGGCCAGGACATTAGAAACCCTCCCACTGTTGTCCCCCCCAAGCACCAAGAAGACAGAGCATCACTTGCCCCAGAGTCCCTATCTATACCTTGTGGCTAATAGCCACTGATGGACTTCTGCTCCATATGCTTATCTAATTCCCTTTTGAAGCCGTCCATGCTTGTCCATTCTCTGAAGCAATTTGGGAGAATGTTTTTTGTTTCCATAGCTTGTCATTTAGTAGATTATTACATTTAATCCCAGGCCTCACCAAAGAAGCCCTGCCAAAAACTGCCTGCATGGAGAAACAAGGAGGGGGGGGGGCCTTTCTTAGGACACACACACCTGACAAGAGTCCTCCTGTATTGGGATTCAGGGAAGACCTTGCAAGAACCCGGATTTAGGGGATCCCCGAAAGCCACTTTCCTGGGAGGAAGCCGGACCTATTCAAGAGCCCCACCCCACCCCGTTCTGATCATCAGACCTGCTTCGGATTGCTCGGCCTGGGCTCCCTTCGGTGGGCTTCCCCCCCCCCCCCCCATCGTTTTCTGAGAGGTCCGAACCGCCTGGGCGGAGTTACTCCCGAGCAATCCCACGGAGCTGCATTCTGGCGCTGCTCTGGACGAGGAGGACGGGAGAAGCCGCTTCTTTCCTGCAGCACGGAAAGGGTTAAAGCAGCCCGAGCTGTTGGCTAGAGAGGCTGAGAAAGGGGTGGGTGGAGGGTGGAAGAGGTCGCTTCTGCAAGAGGGGAAGGGGAAGAGGGAGGGCCTGGGAGGGGGTGCAGCAGTCGCCGAGGGAAATCTTCGCAGCCGGATCCCGGGAAGGTTTCCTCTCGAGTAAGTCATCATCGCAGTCTCGCAAGACAGACATTCCGCTCTCGTGTGGCGGCGGCGGCGGCGGGGATCAATAGTTTTAAAAGGTGGTCTTCTGACGGATGTTTTCCTTTCTTAGTCCCCGTTGGGGCCCCTCCTTGGCAGGGTCTGAAAGGCAGGATCTGAGTTCCCCCCCCCCCCCCCCCCCCCCCCCCCCCCCCCCCCCCCCCCCCCCCCCCCCCCCCCCCCCCCCCCCCCCATCGTTTTCTGAGAGGGCTTCCCCGGGGCCGCCGCCCTGTGCGGAGTTACTCCCGAGCAATCCCACGGAGCTGCATTCTGGCGCTGCTCTGGACGAGGAGGACGGGAGAAGCCGCTTCTTCTTTCCTGCAGCACGGAGAGGGTTAAAGCAGCCGGAGCTGTTGGCTAGAGAGGCTGAGAAAGGGGTGGGTGGAGGGTGGAAGAGGTCGCTCCTGCAAGGGGGGAAGGGGAAGAGGGAGGGCCTGGGAGGGGGTGCAGCAGCCGCCGAGGGGAATCTTCGCAGCCGGATCCCGGGAAGGTTTCCTCTCGAGTAAGTCATCATCGCAGTCTCGCAAGACAGACATTCCGCTCTCGTGTGGCGGCGGCGGCGGCGGGGATCAATAGTTTTAAAAGGTGGTCTTCTGACGGATGTTTTCCTTTCTTAGTCCCCGTTGGGGCCCCTCCTGGCAGGGTCTGAAAGGCGGGATCTGCGTTCTGGAGATCGGAATAAATCCTCCGCCGGGGAGGCCGGGAAGAAGCCCCAGGCGGGATCGCGGGAGGAGGAACCGCTTGTGCCCCGTCGCTGCCCAAATACCTCCTCTTTGGGGCGGTGCTTCCCCCATCTGCAGTTTCCCAAAGGGGAGGGTCATTGGCCTTATTTTATCTGTTTACATCAATTATAGTCCGCCCTTTAGTGGGACTCTCTACAATCAATACATTCAATGAGATATGCAATAGGATTTGGGTTGGAGAACCGACCAGAAATCTGAGAAACAGTGTTTTTAAAGTCAGGAGAGGATGAACCATAACAAGGCTTTTATCCCAAACATTACTCAGCTCTGAACAGCTCTGTCAAGAGCTGCGCCCAAACTTATGCGATTTCAGCAGGGAACGGTCTGCAATAACAGACCTAAATTTGCAATATGATCTCAAGTACCTCATCTTTTTCTGAATCCAGCTTCATTGTCTGGCATGTATGGTAACAGTCTTCATTTTAAGATTTTGAGTATCACTTTACTCCCATGAGAAATTAATGCGAAGGTCCAGAAGTTGCTGCAGTCTTTGATGTCTCTTTTTGTTGAAATAGCAATGTAAAGTGAGTGTTTCCAATCTGTGGGCCGTTGGGTTTTTTTCCATATTTGTTAGCATATTCTTGATAAGGTTTTGAAAGACTCTTTTTGTTCCTTAGAATACTTCTATTGATATCCCATCTTCTTCTGGTGATTTGTTTCTCCCAGTTGCTCTCAATGCAGCTTTCCCTTCACTTTCCAAAACTGTTGGTTCTTCTTCAAAAGATTCTTCTGGAAAGGAATCTGTCATCCTTTCATCTCCTTCCTATAATTTCTCAGTGTGTTGTTCCCATCTTTTCTTAGACATTTCTACCTCTAGATATTTCACTAGATATTTCCATTCCTTCTCTTACCTGCTTCCATTGCTGTTGCTTCAGATGTGGGGACGACCCGTGAAGATGGAAGCGAAAAACTCTGAGGCAGAAGGAGCTCCATCAGAGGAAGGTCAGAGGGCGCAGGCCCAGGAGGATGCCCGAGATGCCCTGTCAAGTGGTAAGGGAGCCTCCTGCCCAGATGGGGTTGGGGGACCGAGTCAAATTGTAGGGCAGAAGGTGCAGGATAGGAGAAAAGGGAAATGCTTTTGCAGACTTCATAGAATGGAGTTCTGGGACACAGAGTGCCATAGGATGTCGTGATGTCCTTACATTCTTATTTACATTAATTAAAATGTGCATCTCTCCCTTCCATTAGAGGGTCTCAAGGTGGCTCAGGAAAGGAAAGGAAGAGAAATCTGGGTGCTTCTTTTAGCCATGGTGAATGAATAGAACGTCCACATTCCCCAGACGTGGATGGCCAGTGGGGGGCGGGGCAGGTTGAAACTGTCAGGAACCCCATAGTTTGAGAGAGAGAGAAAGAAGAAAACCTGTTCCAAAGTCTCTGTGATTTATTGAACGAAAAGCATACTGCACCACTTTTCAAAAAAGCAGCAATTTCAGTCTTCATCTTGCAGAAGGGAAAAGAAAAATGATACCTATAAACAAATACTGCACTTATTACTCATTTAGGAATTATTATTTATTTAGGAATGCATTTGGGCCGCTCTGGCAAGACCTAACCATGGTGTTGGCAGAGGTCCCTTAGTATCTCAAACACTGGTGTTCAATACCTTTAGAATCCAGATTAGCTGTCAGTCAAGAAATCGGATGGTCCTGACAAAGCCCAGACCCATCCCTTTTCTGGCCAGAAGACTCTGATTGGAGTAATTGAATTCCTAGGTTAAAACACACACACACCCTGTCCAGGCAGGAGCTTGGAGCCACCGGTCCGCATATCTAGGTGTTTTGGCTTTAAGTCTGGAACTCAGAAATGTAAACAGTTCTTTTAGAGCAGAGTGCAGGGTGCCTTGTCAGGCTGAAGAGCCTCCTGCAAAGCCTTATGGGAGAGAACCAAACAGAGAGGCCTAAGACAATTCAGGCTTCTTTCAGAACTGCCGCATCATGCTTATAATTCTGCCAGATTCCCCTTAGAATACAATGGGGAGTTTGGAGAGTGGAGGGATAGACAGAATCTAAAAACAGCTCCACGGGAGGGACTGGCAGGAATAAGGTGTGATCAGCATCTCAGTTTGAGAAGAAAGATGAACTGATAACAGAAATGCTCACCCATTCCTGAGCACTCCCTGACTGGTGCCTTGGCTTCTTGCTTGGGTGATGATTGAAACTCTTTCTTTATTCCAGCTGCAGATGTAGAGGAGACAGCTGGGGAATTCCAGGGGTACTGTTTGGAAAAAGTCAAGAATGAAGATGCCGATGGACAGTTCGGAGATGGACATGGACATGGGCCACAGAGGCCGGAGGGAAGCCAAGCAGGTAAGAGGAGGGATAAGCCCATTCCTTGCCAAGGAAGGTGTTTCCATGCAATGCCAGTCCAAGAAGAAAG